ATCATGGATAATTTCTGGTTTCTAAAACACTTTGTTATACTTGATTTCAGCTTGAAGAGGGTGAGATAGATGTTCGATTAACCTCTTTCAAGGGTTGTGTAACAAATGAGCTACRAAATAAAGAAAATATGGAGAAAAGTTAAACAGAATTAAAAAGTGGGACGTATCTGCTGTTTGCACCAGAGGAACCAGGCCCGATGGATTATGTTCTGTTAACAAGGATAGTACTAAAGGCATAATTAGCTTATTTAATTAACTTATATGTATCATATTTTAGAATTTTTATTTTAGAACAATTTATACTTTTGAATCATTTTATTTAGTTATATATATTGTACATTTTTATAAATTTTTATATCGGTTAGGTGTCCCCTATTAGTAGAGTGTTTCTCCCTAACCCTAACCCTAACCCTAACCTAACCCTAACCCTAAACCTTAACCCTAACCCTAACCCTAGGGTTTCTATCTATCTATTTATCTTCAGTTTAGCTTGGCCTTGCTGATGACCAAAGATAATGCTTGTCTAGCATGATGACCAGAATGTTTTTTGATAGGTGTTCCGCCTACATAGATGGCCAGACAATGAATGTAAACAGTGGCTATTGTAGATTGTTCGCTGCTACTCAGGTCAAGTTTAGCTTTGCCTAAATTTCAAGAAGGCTTGAAATGGTCCTAAATTTCATTCAAAAAGACTTGAAATGGTCCTTGAGCTCATGCTCTATAGGGTCGATCCTATGAGGCATTGCATTTGAACTTGCAACTTGCTTATCTCCTCAAACATTTTTATATTCAAACTGAAAAAAAAAACTCAAATCTGTGCAATAAAAGTTCTTCAAATTTTGCATTTGGCTTTGGTTTATTTTTTCAAAAACTTAAGTCAAAATATTAAAAAAATCTGTTAGAGGGAACTATTCATAAGAAATTTTATTGACTTTTACAAATTCCCTATTACAAATTTTTTTGTCATATAAAAGATGATACAAAGTTTACATACTGCATGTCGTGTTTTTTTAATCACTGTTTGCTTCCTGTGTTATGGTTTTTTAAATGAACATTTTTGATGGYATAATAAGGGTTCTGAAGTTGTCAATGTAATGTCTTAAATCATAAAAAGCCAAAAGTTTCAGTTTTTAAAATAAAACAATCACTGGGAGTTCAAATAATGCTCCAATGCTGCTAAAAGCTGTAAAGGCTTCATCAAGTAGATGAAATACAGTAACCAAACACCAAGAATGAAATCTAGGTTGTGGTTGTCCTTGATACTGCAGGATACAACAGCTTGATCCAGGCTAATTGATTGTATCTGTAGTGTRAACATAAAGTTGCTAACATCATATCTCCATAAATAACTCCTCGGAACATGCCTCAAGAAACCATTGAAACTGCAACTTTAAACCCAGCATACAGTACGAACCCCCAGGCTGTTAGCACCAACACTGAAATAAACTAGAACAGTGCAAATATAAATATAATTATTAATATAATAAATAATTAACTATTATAATACTAAACTTTTTTATCAATATCTTGGGCTCGTATCAACGGGGTCTGTATCTATCCTTTGATTGGGCGTGAATATCTAGCCAATTCCCAATAGTATATGAACTTGACATATGATGTATGTAGTTTCTGTACGTTTGTTTGCAGTCCCATATCATGTCRAGTTCTCAGTGAGCTAAATGTATGACAAACCAAAGGTGCAATTAATAGAAACACAAAAAAATAAAGTGAAGATGAAATGGGACCATTTATTAACCAGAGGGAGGGAGAGGTAAGGTTTATATTAGTTTTGATCTGCACAATGCAAGTTGAAAGGTTTCTCCCCTTTTATGCTGCAAACAAATCCTTTTGCCCTTCACTCAGGTTACAACTTTGCACAAAAAATAAGTTACCCCCTCCCCCTCAAATACATGCACAAATTTTTGGGTACCTTTGATCATGAGTTTGCTTAAAGTAATGACCCTCCCCTACCGTTTGCACCAGTGCTTATCCCCCCTCTAATATATATTATTTGGAAGCCTTCTTAAGCTTAAAAACAAAACAAAAAAAGTTGTAAGWTTTTTAAGCTTGAATATTAACATTGGCAGAAACTGAAAATGAAAGTTACATTTTTCAAAACGAGCATAAATGGAATTATTACCAATGTGGGCAATGCYTTTCTGGTTCTTAAGGCCATTAAACTTTCTTGAAAACTGTTTTTCTTCAAAACATTTTCTTCTACAAAATGGTAGCAACGAACTAGAAGACAGCTACAAATAACACAGGCTACCCAACAAAGTATCTKATTTTTCTATTTGGAAATCTTATATTAATAAAACATTAGATTTGAAATAAATATATATATATWTATATATTAATATTTGGAATTATTTGAAGATTTTGAAAGATTTCATTGATTTACACAAYYTTATTTTTATACTATTTTGCATCATACTTGTTTTATTTATTTGGGAATCCTGTGTTTTTTATGAGACTGCGCAGTTCTCCTTGTACCAGTCTCTCTCTTGRCCCTAGCAACGTTTACTTGGTTCGTCTAGAAACAAGAAAATGGTTGGGATTGTCTGAAAAACGAAAATATCACTAAAAATTACAGATTTTAACAATCAAATACTGTGTGACAAGCAGCAGTGGTAGACACGTTTGTGTTTTTTTGAGAATGAATCGCACGGAATCGAGGAAAAAACATGCAAAGTAAGTAAGCTTAAAATAAAAATATGTTTACTAACTAAAGATGCTTCTTGCTTTTTGAATTGAAAGTTTAGAGTAAGCTTGTGTTTGGAAAAACATTAAAAGTTCTACAGGAAAAATGAAATAATTATATAATTTGTATGAAGTGCTATGGATAAATTATTAAAACCCCTTCGCGGCTAACATGAACTATTGCAGTACAGACACCAGAAGTTAATAGTACTTGTACTAAAAACATGTTCAATATTGATTCTTTCCCCGCTGTTTTGTACCTCCACAGCAAAGCTGCAGCTAGTGTTACTGCCAGTCGCAAAAGCAGTCACAGTTTTGGGAGCCGCAGAACGATTGGTGCCAATTCCCGTAGTAACTTATTTGCTTCAACAAGCCGTAAGAGTGTCGTGATTGATTCAAGCCGACCTGATAAATCGCATTCCAAGCCACTTGTTCAGGTAGGGATTAGATTAGATCAGGATCTGAGGAATGATGAAGTCTTGCTTGTTTGTCAGTTTGTGAATTTGACTGTGACAATCTATGTGTAACATCTATGTGTGACATCAAAAATGTAACACATTCTTTCTTTTATTTGCTTGTGAACACCATCATTTTCAAGGGTAGCATTCATAATTCTTATATCCCAAAAAATGTCGATTGCATCTAGGCATGAACACCAGACAACGAAACATTTGCTAATGGGCTTCTGAAACTTGTAAGTTTGTCAGCTAAGAATGTTAATGTTTGTTTATTTCAAATAAGGTTACCTTTGAAATCATCAAACATATTTTTAGTCAACGAACATTCAAATTTCAGGAGCCAGTTAGAACATGTTTTGCTGTTTGGTGTTCACGTCTAGGAGCAAAGGACAGTGAGATTCATGGCTGCTTAAATAGGATTGAATCATGTGATCAGTCCTGTATAGGCTGGGGGAGAGGGGGATGGGATGTGCCGATGACCATGGTTCCAGCCCTGAGATTTTTCTCTGCTTGACAGGGAAGCAAGGAGGAAAGAAATATAGTTAGAAAAAGTAAATAAGGGTGTTAACTATTCCAATATGGAATGTCCATGATAAAGTTAAACATCATAAGGTTACTGCAATTGTTTGTTGACAAGTGTCCTAGATTTTAACCTTAACCAAAAAGATATTATCTTAAAATTATACTATCAATACGTCCATGTTTTCAGTACATGTGTTATTATATATAATTTTTATCATTTTGAAAGGTTTTTGATGACTTTGGCCAAGATGTGACACCAAGAAGTCTCCTGGCAGTTGATCCAACTGTAAAGTAAGATTTGATCATTTGAATTCACTGTTTGAGCAAGCTAATACATAATACAGTATTTGACAGGTTCACAATCCCAAGATAAATGTCCATTAACATCTCTTTTCTGATTTTGTAGGCGAAATCAAAGCCATACATTCTTTGATCCTAGTTCATCGATAGCAACTGTAAGTATCCTGGCTATTAGTTTATCATCTTGCTTCATATTTTTTCAATTCCATGAAACTCCTTCTGAGCTGATCGAAGTCAACACAAAAACAAAAAAAAAAGGCTTATGATTCAATTTGGAATTTAGCTTAATAAGATTTTGTGGAGGGAGGAAAACCAGAGAACCAGGAGAAAAACCATTGAATCAAGAGAGGGACCTCGTAAGGAATCGAACTTTTAGCTCTACCACCCTTGACTCCCAAATAATTCTTTATGAAGTTTTAAATCACAAAAATCTTTTAATTTAGGAATTTACTGGGTAAAGCTTCTTCTTAGCAAATCTAGCAATGTTTGCAAATGCTCAATCATCTGTAAATTACTTTTGATACTTACATCTATGATTTTGTTATAATTCATTCTGAATTACCATAGCTATTTTTAGTCAATGACTTATGCCCACCCACATATATTTGTATCTAAAGCCCTCAGAAGTTAGTCAATCATTCTATGCTGCCAGTACAGCCAGTATGTATGGAGGCTTCTCAAGGTATGGCATTTATTGCAAAACCAGTTCTAGGCCATGTAATAGAATAAATTTAGTTGATGTCATTGATACAGGTATGTAGCAGAGCCAAGGCAAGCCTAATGAAAGACTGTAGGGAGGGGGCACGAATTGTGATTACAAAATATTCATATATAAAAAATATTTAATTTTTAAAAAATATTGTGTACTAGAACTTCCAGAAAATATCCATACCCCACCATGGAGGGAATTTGTAAAAAGAAATTCCACTTTTCGTTTATACAGACTCTGTAATTTTGTTCTTCCTCTGACCCCTTTCCCTCCAGAATTTCCAATTTTCTTCTTGTGGGGGGGGGGGGGNATGGATTTTTCCTAACTATACAACATACCTTCCTCAGACCTTCCCTTGGAAATTTCAATCTACCTCTGTGGGGGGGGGGGGGGTATGGATATTTTTTCTGGAACTACTCATAAAATGTACTCAAGTTAATTAGTAATTTTAACAAATATATACATAAAGAATAATTGTAAATAATATCAGGATAGTTTAATTAGAATAGTTTACAGAACAAGAAGATTCCTTATTATCTAGTTCCAGAAGGTCCTAGGTAGAGATACCGATATTTTCTTGAACTACACAACCATTAAAATAAACTGCCCCAGAGAAAAACAACATTAAATATTAAAAAAATTATAAAACTATATAAATATAAAAAATATATATATTTTTGTAATTTGCTTTTCTGGGGGAAGCTAGAAAACATACATTATTCTAAATGATGCATACTTATAACTCCAATTTATTTTAATTCTTATTTCTGCATTAAAGATCTGTGTTTGGTTCAGTATCTGGAAGATCATCTCCAGAATCAATCAGTGAGGAGTTAGCTGAACCAAGTAGTTACCATGACAAGTTCTCATCTAGTATTGCAGGTCAGTTCAAATATATCTGTACATATAACAATTCTTAACACAGGCTCACATGAAGGACCATATAATTTTTTTTACTGGGGAGGAGGGGGGGAGGGGTTGGTGAGTGGGATTTGTGGGGGGGTCATAAAAATAATCAGTCAGGGTGCTTTTACAACAAACTGAATGGAAATCAAGGGAGAGGCCATGTTAAGCAACATAAAAGCAACACATTTCTTGTTTGGGGTAACACGCAAATGTTACTTTCCACTCCCCAATAAAAAATGAATAGAGAGAGATGTGTTAGATCCCTGCCCATAGGCAAGTTTGGCTCTTAGATCCTACTTTTGTACCCTTGGAAATTCAAGGATATCCTTTCTGCTAGGGTGGGGGTGGGGGGGGGGGGAGGGAGGGGGGGGGGRGGAAGGGGTTAATATATTTTCTTCAACAACTAAAGCTGTGTACATTCTTTTAGTAAAGTATACATGATTTGCGTATCTGTAATGGGAATAAGGTTCTTGGCTAGTGTGGCATTGCTGTATTTATTTAATAACTCAGTTTTGTACCTCACAATAATATCCCATCAATCTTGTGTCTTTTTCTCTATAGAAATACGCACACAACCAACTTTTATGAAGGAAGAACTGACAGAGGAAGATCTTGAGAAACAAGTATGAATAGAGGCTTTGCACCTTCACGTGATGGCAGCCATGACAGCAGGCAGGAACACTTGAATCTGGTCTAATTTTATAATACATGAGAAAGAATTCAGTTTCCCAGGAGAAAAAATACGAAAAATACCATTGCTTGCTGTCATGGCTGCCATCACTTGACGGTGCAAAGCCTCTAATTAAAGTACTGATACCTTTTGTAGTTCTTCATCATGACAATCCAGTGTGTCAGGGGGTGTACTGATTAGGCAATCACACCCTTTCAAATTGTCTAAAAATTATAAATATAATGACATCAAAATGGTTCTGCTTGCCCCTTGTTGGAGCTCCAATGGCACTAGTACTCTTGCCACACCTCTGCACAGTGTGACAGTGTGTGATAACTGTTGTTGTTGAACATGATCATTCAACAGGTTCATTTGACACTAACGGAGACAGACACCATATGGCTATTGGATCTGCCAGGAACATATGTTGCAGAAGATCATGAATTTGCAATAGAAGAGAAAGAAAAAATACAGAAATATGAAGAGGTGAGAAAGCGATTTTTAGATATTAGAAAGATATTAGTTATTAATCTTAGTCATGTTCATGTAAGTTCTAAAACATCCATTGCCTGTTTTTTTTYCGTTAGTTACTTAAGAACCGTGCAGGGAATGACATGTATGTAGAAAGAGGCATGCAGACGTTTAATGACGCACCAAAAAGCAAGGAAGTACAGACATCCAAGGTGGAACTTTTTGTAAGTTGAAAATTATACATGTAGTTAATCAGTTACTTCTGTTGATATCTAACAAATAGAGCTTTAGACTAGGTATGCAACCATCCCAACAAGCTACTACACAAAGAAATTACCCTTGAGTTACATTACAGTGACAATGGTTAGGTCTCTACTAGTAACATACATACTTGTACATGCTTATGTACAAAGCAAAATTTTGTTACAAAAATAATCCTTTATGTTTGCCACTCAAACACACATCAGTGAGCCACTTAAAGAAGAAAAAACTAATTATAGGAAAGTCACTAATAAAAAAGACTTGCCTTACATGTGTAGTGTGAGTTTGTTTAATGTGACTGTTGTTAAAGGTAAAGCACCTATATTTAACGTTGGTAGTTCCTTCAGTTAAAATTCAACTGCTATCAATGGAAGCTGACGGTGCGCACTTTACCCCGCTGTAAAATCTATAATGGTTTAGTTTTATTTTATATTTAATCCTGGCTGCTGTATATTGTACAGGATGTGGGTTGCATGGCAACGACATGGGACATGTATGACACTCTCACCAGTCAAGCCACAGGAGCAGAAGGTTGGTAAAGAATATCCTGTGTCGGTAATGTTTTACATTTCACTGACCCTGTTCATAGTGATGCAGATTGTGGCCTGGTTGTATGAAGGGTACATGGATAGTGCTACCAGACAGTTAGCGCTATTCACCCTTCATACAACCAGGCCAGGTGCCTGGGGGGGTACTTCGCCAGAATTTGGGTAGGGGTGTTCCGCTGGGATTCTGAAAGGGGTACCCTGTTTATGATAAAAAACTCAAATTTGTGTACCCTGTTTACGAGAAAAGATTTTTTTTCAATTATCATGTCATCTCGCGTATCGTTTTTTTATGACCGTAATAACCAGTTTCGGTCAATACGAAAGTAGAATCCCTGAATATGACAGGAAACTCAGGAAGAACTTGGAACTTGAGTGAAATTGCATACCCTGTTTATGATAAGAAGCTCGAAAAACTATACCCTGTTCAGTGGATCATCCCTGTATAGTCCATATATGGGAGTACCCCCCCCCTCCCCCCCAGGACCAGGTGATGTAAAGCACCTATACAGTAATTGTGCAGCACTAAATAAATTGGAAATAATTGGTACATTTATTTTTTGAAAAAAAAACAAACAAAACACACATTTATAATTATTTGGTAAAGTAACATTGATTATCAAACATTTAGGKTGAGGTAATGCCCTGTTCCCTCCGTAGCCCCTCCCTACTCCAGTGGTAAAAACTGCATGTTTTCATCTGTTGTTCTTCTGTTTTAGCTGACAAAATTGATTCATATGAAAAGCTTGAAAGCTTGAGTAGACCAGCAAGTGGGGAGCGAGCAAGTAGCTATGGTGACAGTGATAGTGTGGGCACAGGATCTATTAGACCAGCTAGTGCTGCTTCTGAAAGTGTAACAGGTGAGTTCTGTCTGTCTGTCTGTCTGTCTGTGGGTCTGTCTGTCTGAATGTTAATGTAAATGTGCCGCTGTGATGGCGTGACCATCGAGTTTGGGATGCATGCTTGTCCTGGCTAATTAGCTAATCAGAGCGCGCGTTATATTGTGGCCTGTGGTATTAACACAATAGAAAGTGCGCAACCGTTCTGTGTTCTCTCATAAAGCACGCGCTCCCATCCAATCAGAAGGTGAGATTCATAATGGGTATTTTATAAAATAAGTGTTAGTACATGTAAGTTCTGGATGCCTGCCTTCCTGTCTGTCTGTCTGTCTGCCCGCTTATCCACCTCCTATCCTTTATTATACCATTTAAAAAAATAATAATATTAAGTTAATGATTTTGTTCAAGGGAGTAGAGCCAGTATGTTTACCATGAAAAGTGCTTCCCTGGAAGAAATGCCAGCTGGTGAAGAAAAGGATAGTGACAAGAATGCAGAAGAAATCGCAGATGCGATAAAGGAGCGCATTCTTGGAGTAGGTGCCAAACTAGTATAAAAGATTCACGCTAATATACGGACAACGAAACGCCAGAAAAAACTGCCCTTAATATATAGAGTTGTCCGTAGTATAGAGGTGACCGTAATATAGAGGTATTCGTAATATAGAGGTGTCCGTAGTATAGAGGTGTCCGTAATATAGAGGTATTCGTAAT